TTTTCTCTCTTCTCTGTTTGTTTCATTCTCTCCTGCATCCCGTTTCAGTCCTCACTATTACCATCGCCACAATGATCGCTGTGATCGTGATGCACATCATCATCATCATCATCATCATCATCTCATCATCATCATCATCATCATCGTCATCGTCATCGTCATCATCATCATCATCATCATCATCATCATCATTACCATCGCCACCACCACCACCGTTGCTGTCATCGTCGGCGACACCATCGTCTTTTTTTTCATGGTCATAAGCACCAACTGACACTTTCTTCCTCTTCACCTCTTTCTTTTGATTCATTATTATCAGCATAACTTATGCTTTTCTCTCCATTTTTTTTTTTATCCTTAACTCCGTCGTATACTTCTACTGCTACTAACTTGTGCTGTTGCTTTTCCTTTCTGTCCCTGATCGACTTCGTTATCCTCTTCATCTTTATATACCATTAATCGCCTCACCCTTTTTTCATGCTTTACAGTTTTAGAAGGCAACTTCCTATCATACTCTTCCATGAAGACTATTTCATTCTTAGACAGTTTTTCTATTTTTGTTTTCCAGACGCCCACATTTTTACCTAGCAGTTACCGCGTCGCTAACTGCTATAAGTGTCTGGAATTTTCATGCATGATGTGGAAATATCAGCTTTGCAGATAGCTTATGTGCTGAATGAAAAGCTTTGGTGTTCAAAAGGGAAATGTGTTGACAACTAGTTCATAATGAAATCTATCGACTAGTAACTAACCAAAGGAAAAAATCACTGGACAAGGCAGAAGGGAAGCAACCTGGTTAGCTTAAAAAAACAAGGCACGATTTTCGTAATCCTTGTCTGGACAGCTAGCGGGAATGTCGAGAGGAGTTGATTTAGCTAGACTAGTGATAAACAGCTCCTTATAAGGAACCATAAGATGCGGAGGAAGAGTTCACAGTGGTGAAGAAGGGTGTGAAGAGAAAATTAAAGCAGGGAGAAAGAGGAAGCGCGATCAAAGGGAGGTGAACGCTTGGCAACGGGAACAATGCAAAAGTCAGTCACTTCCCCAGTTTGTACCCTTCCACCAATAATTTATCATCTCCTATGGGGCAATCACTTCGCAACACCGACACATT